AACATATTTTTTTTAAAAAAAAACTAAGATAAAGTATATCCTAAGCAACCCAGTGATAGGAGGGTAAGAAAGGTCTATACTAGAGGTCTCCAGACTTCTCCCAATACATTTCCTTCTCCTGCCATTGCTATATTATACTTGTTGCCTGTAACTTGTAAATTGAGTTCTGTGGATACTTTCAATAATCAAACACTGTCTCAAACATAGTAACGCACCTTTTGATCAGCTTAATTCAATTTTCGTCATTAATAGTTCACACTTAAACACAAAAACTAAAGCTTGTCAAGCAAGTTATGCTACCACAGATTCAAATTCACTCTTGGCATATGAGCCTTTTCCAAAAGTAAATTCACTTTAAATCTGGGCTAGCCTGCAAGTAGCATGAAATAAAAGAGCAAATGTTGGTTCAATCAGTATTTTCTGGTAAACTTGGATCATTCTTTGCCTATTTGTAGGGTAAATAATACTTTTTCTTGCCAGACTAGCTTTAAAAAACTTTGAAAACTATTGCCTTTTACCCCAAAACTACTATCCTTATCCTTGAACTTCAGAAAAATGTAGAAAACAAATTTAAAAACTAAAAATTATTGAAGTTCTCAAAGACTTAAATTTCCACATCTGAAGGTATTCCCATTAGCTTTAATGACGTCAGCACTCCCAATATGAGTCAATGTCAGACTACTCTGTGCATTTAGGAATGTCCTCTCTAGTCCTAGTCTTTGCGATACTGCATGTTGATGTGACTAAATACTACTAATCTCATCATTGTACAGGTAAGGTACAAGTGTGCTTTCCAACTTAACCACATACACAGTCCGAATGACCTGAGAATCTGGAGGTCAGATTCAAAACACAATACAAAAAAATGAACGTTACAAAATTTAAAAATTTCTGCTCCATAAAAGACACAATTAAGAGAGTGAAAAAGCAAGCTACAGACTGGGGGGTGGGGAGGGATTGCAAATGACATATCCAGTAAATACCAGGTATCAAAAATGTACCAAGAAATCTCCAAACTCAACACTAAGACAAACAAACGAATTAAAAAATAGGCAAAAGACTAGAATATGCACTTCACCAAGAAGACATAAAGATGTCAAATAAGTACATGAAAAAATGTTCAGCATCATCATCCACATGGCAAATGAAAATTAAAATAACCAGGGGATATCATGACAAATCTATCAAATGACTAGAGTAAAAACATACAAACAATGGCAAATTGTGTCAAGGATGGAGAACAACTGTAACTCATATGCATTGTTGGTGGGGATAAAAAATTTTACAACCATTGAGAAAAGCAGTTTGGCAGCTTCCTACATAGTCAAACACACCACATGATTCAACCATCTCACTGTTGGAGGAATAAAAACTAATGTTCATACAAACACCTGTACGCAAATGTTTACAGCAGTTCTATTCACAATCACCAAAAATTGAAAACAAATGAAATTCGTGCACTGGTAGGGTCCCTAGTGGCTGCCGGCTGCTGGCCGGGTACTCCCTCTCTTTCCCCAGCCGCCTATAGCTGCTGCCACCGCTGCCAGCCAGAGTCTCCCTCCCTTCCCCAAGTTGCCTGCTGCCACCACCGCTGCCAGCTGGGGCCTCCCTCCCTTCCCCAGGCTGGCCCAGCCCCCTGGTCGAACTCCCAGACGAACTCCCAGGTGAGAGGACAATTTGCATACTGTGCTTTTATTATATAGGAGACTATGCAACAATAAAAACTAAAGAAGCTATTGATACAAGCCACAACCTGGTTGGATCTCAAACAGATTATACTGACTGAAAGAAGGCAATTTCAAAAGACTATATATACTGTATGATTCCATTCATATGATATTCTCAAAAGTAAAACAATAGGAATGAACAACAGAAAGTGACTTCTCCAGGCGGTGCAGGTGGTGGAGGGGGTGATTATAAAGAAATAACATGAAGGCATTCTCTGGGTTATAGAATGTTTCAGTATCCTACATGTGATGGTTGTTATATAAATCTACACATGTGCTAAAATTCATAGAGCTAGAAAGTCAATAATAAAGAGATATTCTAGCTAACATCTTAGCACACAAAGGTGGCAATGAGTGATGGACTGATTTGACAACTGATATTGAGGACCATTACTGCCCACATTCCACACTGCCCCATGCTGGTGGAAATTATTGTGCCCACTGCCTGTGTGTATATTAGCAAGAATGAATTTCCTAGAGAGAGGGCAAGTCAATTTTAGGCAAACTTCAGGACACTTCCATCATCATGGACTGTTGCACAGTCCTTTAGAGGAAGATTAAAATCAATAACCATTGTTTCCCTAATTACTACTTCTTTCCTTTTCATTAACAACATCCAGAATCTTCCCAGGAAGGATTAACCCAGCGGTTCTCAACCTGTGGGTTGCAACCCCTTTGGGGGTCGAAAGACCCTTTCACAGGGGTTGCCTAAGACCATCAGAAAACACATATATAATTACATATTGTTTTTGTGATTAATCACAAAATTGTTTAATTATGTTCAATTTGTAACAATGTGCTGGGGGTCCAAATCCCAGCAGGTCCAGGGGGTCCCCAAAGGTGTGGACGGAGTCGGGCGAAGAAGGAATGACACGAAGACAGGCCTTCAGTTGGTCAGCAGCCTAGTCAGGACCTATAGCCAGGATCTCCAGCCAAAGTTCTGGTCGGAGTTCTGGTCAGGAACTGATGAGGATCTGACGTTTATTGTCTTATCACATCCGTATTTATACCAGCCGATTCCAATCCCGTCAATTTCTATTACAAGGGTTAAGGTGTTTCTCATCTCCATTCCAGGGAGTAAAGACCATGTAGCTTAATTACCCGCCTGGCACTTAATTAAGGGGTTGTATCCCCTCTCCAACCTCAGGGAAAGATCCCCACCTGGGGAAACAACCTTTCTCGGAGAGGTGACCTTGGTTAAAACACATGGCGATAAAGGGAGCAAACATATTAAAAACAGTATGCTACATACGCCAGGTCCACTGAAACACATGCTGTGCAGATGCCTCTTTCCTGCAGCGACTGCGTCAAGCAGCAAGGATGGACCGGCCTCCGGCAACAATGACATTGGGGGTCACCACAAAATGAGGAATTGTATTAAAGGGTCGCGGCATTAGGAAAGTTGAGAACCACTGGATTAACCCCAACTCCACATGTAGAAATGGCTTCTACTAGTATTCTCTTAAGGCAATCAAATCAGTCTTTTATTTCCTTTGACCACTCTGATTGATTTAGCGATGGATGGTTCAACCAAAAAAGACTATCGAGGCAAAAAAGACTCCATTCCTGGGTTATGGTTGAGCTATGGAGGAGGTAAGCTCTGTGTTAGTGGACCTGAAGCTGGAGCTGAGTCACTTCAAGGGCTGATTACTGTCTTTCAATGATAAGGGGAGAGTCAGCTGAGAAAGCCAGGAGACAGAGGGTGTGAAACTGTTTCCTGCCTTTTCCTTTGTTCCTCTGGCCCAATGTTTCCAAGTTTACCTCAATGTGGTAGCAATCCAGACCCCTGCCCAATCCTGCTGCCTCAGAATCTCCAGGGAAGTTCTGGGACAGGAACTACTCTAGTCTCACCTTAAGCTAGTCCTAATGTTGACGTTTTCAGGAATACAAACCAATAAATTTCCTTTATATTCTAAGAGAATTTGAGATAGACCTGTTAGTTGGCAACGAAAGCATCCTAACAGAACCCCACTCGATTCCTTTCCTTTGTTGTTGTTGTTCAATCTTTTCTTTGCAGAGGTATAAGCATAAACTCTCAATTGAGTTATTCTTATGTCTCGAATAAAGTTCAAAGGACAATCTCAGTATTTCCATAACAACCTAGAAGAAAACAGGTTGAGAAATAGATCTGTCAATCTCTCTTCCCTCCCACTGCTCCTCCCTCTTGCCCTCCTTTCTTTGATTAAATAGGCCCTAGGACACCTGTCCAAAGTGTTCGGAATCACTCCTAGAAATCTGAAGTCCTAGGCTCTCCAAGATGGAACTCACTGCAGTAGATCACCGCATACCTCTAAGTGATGGAAACAGCATTCCTATCATTGGGTTTGGTACCTACCAAGACTCTGTATTGGTAAATTTATATCTCTTTCTGTATTTTTTTAAATAAGAAACTTTTCTAAAGTATAATCTGTAATTCATTTTAAATGGATCTAATTGATTCACTTTTTGTAATAATGAAAGCAACCTCCAAGGACTATTGTTTAGCTGAATGAGTATTGAGCCAAACATTAAACTAAATCAATTTGTGATTTAAAATGATCTTGGATTAGAGAATGGGACCTTTCTGCTTTCTTGACTAAAATTCAGCGGGGTGCTTCTTATTTTATTGATCTCAAGCACGTGAAATTACTGAGTTTATGGCCTGTGATTTTTTAAGTTCATATTTGAGCACTTTCAATTCAGTCTAAAATGCATCTCTGTAACAATATGTTTACAAATACATCTCCTAGGGCAAAGGAAACTATGGAGAAAATAAACAACTAGGACTATATCAAAATAAGCTTCTGCACAGCAAAAGTAACCATCAACAAAATGAAAACGGAGCTCACAGTATGAGGGAACATTCTCACCAACACTTGCTGATTTTTTAAATTTATGCAACTCTGGTTTTAATTTGCACTTCCTTTCAACTCTACATGAGATTAATTTTTCATATTTTTATTAGACATTTGGAGATCTTTTGCAAAGTGGCTGTGTCTTCCACAAATGTTTCTTTATTGGATTTCTCTTCTCTTATTGCTATAGTGGATTTTAAAAATATCTGCATATGAGTTATATCTATGTGAAAATATCTCTTCCCACATACCTTTTTACTCTTTTAATGAATGGTGTCTTCTGATGAACAGAGATTCCCAATTTTAATGTGCTCACATTTAGCACTCTTTAATTTATCATTAGTACTTTCTGTGGCTTGTTTAAGAAATCCTTCTCTACCCAAGTGTTAAATTGGGAAATCTGGGAACAGCCTCTGAGGAGATTTGCATGCTGGAGGCTTGTTGGAGAGTACTCTCAGAGACCAGACCTGTAAGGGTGTGTGCAGTGGGGACAGCTGAACTGCAATGCAGTTGCTCATCAATGCCACAGGGAGTTCTGGAATGGGAATGGTGCCACAGAGATGTGCTGAGTTCAGGTAAGAGCATCAGGCCTTTATACCCTGGGTCATCCATAGAGGGAAACAGATGTGAGTAATGAGCAGCCAACACTTCTGAGGACTGAGGAAGTGGGGTTCATTATGACATGTTCTACCCCAGCTGTCAATTGCCTTTATATGCTAAGTTCACCCCTGGGAACAGCTCTTCCAGAATTCTGTTTGGTTTGTTTCCTGGGAAAATATTTAAAGAGGTAGATTAGCAGGATGAATAAGGCCCTTGCCACTAAAGCTGTCTTCAATTGTAACTTCTACTTATTCTCTTCCTCCCAGAATACCCATTCTAAGTTCCCTGTATCCTTAGCCAATATCTCTGTTAGTCTGGGTGACTTACCTAGTATTATGTCCCAAATCCTCATCCCTGAGTTGTCTGAATCCCTAGTCAGCTACCGTCTCAAGTCATGGCTGCTGCCCTGTCCATTAACAATCACAATTGGTAATAAGTATATCATTGGTTCCCCTATCCCCTTGTGATAAGTTATCTTACCCCTGCCAACATGGCAATTCTTTCCTTGAATGCTGAACTCTTACAATAAGGAGGCTGATTTCCCCTGTGAATTAGGACCTTTAGAGTCACACAGCCTAAAATTCAGGGATGGGAAGCACACATTTTCCAAGTAGGTCAAAGGGAGTGATGCTAAAATGAATCACTCCAACTGGGTTTTCAGACTCATGTATTGTACTTATTGCACAATACCATACAAATATGTTGCCCTAGGACATATGTTATATCCTGTAGTTCCAAAGACAGAGAAGCATCGATCAGACCGTCAAACCTCAGAGGGAAGGTAGGGGAGGGTGGGGGTAAGGGGGAGATATCAACCAAAGGACTTCTATGCATTCATATAAGCCTAACCAATGGACACAGACAACAGGGGGGTGAGGGCATGAGTGGGGCGGGGGGATAATGGGGGGATAAGGACACATATGTAATTCCTTAATCAATAAAGAAAAAAAAAAGCAAGTTCATCCTTAAGGACTTGCTCATTTCTCAAGTGGAGGAAGGGTGCTATTGGCCATTTTAGGAAACAGAACTCTTTATTGAGCGTTCTTTTATTTTATTGAGATTGTCATTAATTGTGAAAAAAAATCTTTGCACTTCAGATTCTCCTATCATATCACTTATTTCAGTCTCCATATATGGTATTCTATTTGATCTTTCTGATTTTTTTCTCTAAAATTTATTTTCATAACAAAGCTGTTAGAATTTATATAGAATTCTCTAATACTACATTTAAAAATTATAAAGTTTGTTGTTTATGTTCACATATCCAACTGGTTTATCCAGATAGGTTAAAATTAATTAGTAATTAATTACTAATTTAGTAATTATAGTTCACCCCATTGCTGCTTCTGCCATGTAAGGGTGAATATTTTTTTAAATATGTATTTATTGATTTTAGAGAGAGAGGAAGAGAGAGGAAGAGAGAGAGAGAGGAACATGGATCAGTTGCCTACAGTATGCACCCACGTCCTGGGTATATGCCATAAGAGGGAATTGAACCAGTTACCTTTTGGTACATGAGATGATGCTCAAGAAACTGAGCCACTCAGCCAATGCAGGGAGAATACTTTATTTTATTTTATCTTATTTTATTTTATTTTTTATTGTCTAAAGTTTTACATGTGTGTCCTTTTTCCACAATTGACCCTCCCATTTCCCCAGCCATTCCCACCCGGGGCAAGCCCCCAGCACCCTAATGTCTGTGTCCATTGGTTATGCTAATATGCATGCCTACAAGTCCATTAGTTGCTCTCTAACCTCCCCTCCCCTACCATTTGTCTCTAGATCGATCTATTTTTCTTCATCAAATTATGTTGATCATTTTATCCCATATATTAATGAGATCATGCGATATTTATCTTTCTCTGACTGGCGTATTTCGCTTAGAATAATGCTCTCCAGTTCCATCCATGATGTTCCAAATGGTAACAATTCCTTCCTTTTGACAGCAGCATAGAATTCCATTGTGTAGATGTACAACCATTTTTTAATCCACTCATCTGCTGATGGGCACTTAGGCTGTTTCCAAATCTTAGCTATGGTGAATTGTGCTGCTATGAACATAGGGATGCATATATCCTTTCCGATTGGTGTTTCTGGTTTCTTGGGATATAGTCCTAGAAGTGGGATTACTGGGTCAAAAGGGAATTCCATTTTTTAATTTTTTGAGGAAACTCCATACTGTCTCCCACAGTGGCTGCACAAGTCTGCATGCCCACCAGCAGTGCAAGAGGGTTCCTTTTTCTCCACATCCTCGCCAGCACTTGTTGTTTGTTGATTTGTTGATGATAGCCATTCTGACAGGTGTGAGATGGTACCTCATTGTTGTTTTAATTTGCATTTCTCGGATGATTAGTGACTTTGAAAATGTTTTCATATGTCTCTTGGCCTTTTGTATATACTATATTTAGGTCCTTTACCCATTTTTTATTGGATTGTTCATTTTCCTTTTGTTAAGTTGTATGAGTTCCCTGTACATTTTAGAGATTAAACCCTTATCAAAGATAACATTGACAATATGTTATCCCATATTTGCAGTGAGCTTTCTTGTTCTTTTGTTAATGGTTTCTTTCACTGTGCAGAAGCTTTTTATTTTGATGTAGTCTCATTATTTTGTTTTCTCCTTAGTTTCCATTGCCCTAGGAGCTATATCAGTGAAGATATTGCTATGACATATGTCTGCTATTTTGCTGCCTATGGCTTCTTCTAAACTCTTTATGGTTTCCCGTCTTATGTTTAAGTCCTTTACCATTTTGAGTTTCTTTTTGTGTATGGTGTAAGTTGGTGGTCTAGTTTCATTTTTTTTTTTTTAAATATCTGTCCAATTTTCCCAACACCATTTACTGAAGAGACTGTCTTGACTCCATTGTATGGTCTTGTCTCCTCTGTCACATATTAATTGAGCATAATGGTTTGAGTCGACTTCTGGGTTCTCTGTTCTGTTCCATTGGTCTATATGTCTGTTCTTGTGCCAGTACCAGGAAATTTTGAGAACAGTGGCTTTGTAATACAGCTTGATATCCGGTATTGTGATCCCTCCAACATTGTTTTTCCTCCTCAGGATTGCTGTGGCTATTTGGGGCCCTTTTTAAAAATTCCATATGAATATTTGAAGAGTTTGTTCTAAGTCTGTGAAATATGCTGTTGGTATTTTAATGAGGATTGCATTGAACCTATAGATTGCTTTGGGTAGTATGGACATTTTAATTTTGTTGATTCTACCAGTCCATGAACAGGGTATATTCTTCCATTTGTTTATGTATTCTTCTATCTCTTTTTTCAGCATCCTGTTATTTTCTAAGTACAGGTCCTTTACATCCTTGGTTAAATTTATTCCTAGGTATCTTACTTTTTTTGTTGCAATGGTAAACGGGATTGTTATTTTAGTTTCTCTTTCTGTGAGTTCATTATTGGTATATAAAAAAGCCACAGATTTCTAGGTGTTAATTTTGTATACTGCTACAGTGCCGCATTCATTTACTAAGTCTAGTAGTTTTTAAATGGAGTCTTTAGGGTTTTCGATGTACAATATCATGTCATTTGTGATAATGACAGTTTTATTCTTTTACAATTTGGATGCCTTTTATTTCTTCTTGTCTGATCTCTATGGCTAGCACTTCAAGTACTACGTTGAACATGGGTGGTGAAAGTGGGCATCCATGTCTTGTTCTTATTAGGGGAAATGGTTTTAGTTTTTGCTATAAGGCTATTATTATGTTGAGGTATGATCCCTCTATTCCCACTTTACTGAGAGCTTTTATCAGAAAAGGGTGTAGGGTTTTGTCAAATGCCTTTTCTGCATCAATTGATATGATTATGTCAATAAAATCAAAAAATATTTTATTGATTTTTTACAGAGAGGAAGGGAGAGGGATAGAGAGTTAGAAACATCTATGAGAGAGAAACATCCATCAGCTGC